CGCATTACATTACTGGAGTAAAGTTAGCGGCAGGGCGGCTTTTGCCTCTTGAAAGCAGGCAAAAGTCACCCTGCCGCCCCGGCTCTATGTCCGACATAGAGGCAGGACGCCTCTATGTCGGACATGGCGTCCTGCCTCTATGTCGGACATAACGCCGGGGCGGCGGGGTAGGTTTTGCCCGCTTGCCTCACCAGTCATAAACCTCACTGCACGTCACTGTAACAGCATCATCTGCTGCCCTATTTGATCAGTAGGCAAACTGTAAGGAGTCTAACAGCAGATCCGTGATGACTTTTAGGTAGGCCAGCACTAACCTCTTAAAAGTCTTCATAACTAAGGATGTCAGAGCAACCAGCTTGTTGTGATTTAGCTCCCCGATGGAGGATTTCTTAGGATTCTGGATGATGGTAGAGCGTTTGAAGCAAGATATATAACACATCTCCAATAACACATCTCCAATGATTTATTAAAAAAATATATACCAGTAATATTTTAAAAGTATCAAGTTAACAATATCAATAAAAATGACTGACATAAAAGAGTTTTTTGAAATAAGCTAATTCATAAAAATATTAATTTGCATATTTTTTAGCTTATAATATGAGATACCTGGATTTTCTGACAACCTAAAGAATTATTCAGGAAAATTTACTGAAGAAGTGCCTAATATTGTGAGAAAGCTTATAATGAATGGGAGAATCACAGGATTGAAGGAGCCATGTAAAACATCACGTCCAACTCCTTGCTCTGTCCAGAAAATCAAATGCTTAAAATACCCAGGATAGATGGTCCTCTCTAGCTGTTCTTGAATCCAGCCAATGAATAGAGGCTCTCTATTTCTTTGGGTAACTGATCCCATTGTTGAGCTGTCACTATTAGGAAATTGTTTTTAACCTTACAAAAGATATAATGTTCTACTATAAAAGTAATTATCACTGCCAAATAAAGTGTTAAATCTAGAAGTCAAATCTGTTCTTCATTATCAAGGGCTTTCCCAATCAAAGAGTGGAGCACAGGAAACTCACATCTGGAAACAATTCATGGCCATGATTTTTTTATTCTGAATTTTAGTCTTCCGAATGAAGAGGTTGGAATTTTGGTTCAGAACCATCATTATAATTTAGGAAGCATCCTTTAAGGCTTGTGGTACCAAGGGGAAATGTTTGACATCTCTTGTGATAGATAGAACCTTAGGAATTAAGCTGGTAATATCTGAGCTTGTCTATTCTTCCAAGCTTGTATTATACTAACATTATAAAGGGGATAATCTTATAGAAAAAACTTCTCAACTAAATCAACTCAGTGGTGATTTATTTTAAATATTAGTATTTGATAGATGAAAGGATTTTTTTTCATAAAGGTAAAACTAAATCAAATCTCAACACTGAAAAGAAAAGCTTTTCTTGGTTAACATTTAATACCGAAATTGTTTTGCAAACAAATTTTAGTGAGCTGTATGTTTTCTGTTTTCATTAAACAATCTTGTAATTCAAATTCATTCCTTGTTTCTTTAATCTGGATTTTGAGGTTTTATGTGCACCATTAGACTGTCTAAATAGAACTGGTGCAAAAAAAAAAGTTGCTACTTCCAACTATGCCGTATCACATTCCCTTAAATTATGGTTGAATTGTTGAATTGAGTTAACATAGAGCTGACATTGCCTATATCAAAGCACCTTGTGCTGGCACTTCCTTAATCCAAAAATGTATTTTCCCTAGATTGCATGGCTACTGTGCAAACCCAAGAAATGATGCAGCTTCTTTAAGTAGCACTGGCACATGGATAATATGGGTGCCAAAATTATATCAATATAGTGATTAATTATTGAACAATAGTATTCAAATAGAAACCTCTGCAATGTTATCACAATTTGTATCAATTGAATACGTCACACATACCATACCCCAGTTGATCCATGAATTACTTGACCTTGTGTTCATCAATTTAAAAACCTCTTGAGATTTTTTCTTTCAATTATGTATTTTTTATATGTGGAATTATAAATGCTGGTTATGTATTGCCCACATACAAAATACATTTGCATTTTCAATGTGTGTTTCATTCATTTGTTTCTGCACACTGAAAATTAAGTTTTTGGAATAAGAATTTAGTATGTTTCCTGCATTTCTATAGTTCTTTTTTTTCTTTAATAGCAGGAGTTTTGGAATCTGTACCAGTTGATCATCCTATCCCAGAAAGTGCCTCAACAGTAGATCCTCCTGAGCTGTCTCCATGTAGATCCCCCTCAACTCCACGACATCTACGTTACTGGCAGACAGGAGGTAATATGAAAATATTGACTTCATTACAGGGCTGTGCTGCATGGACTTAAGCTGCTTCAATAGGATTTGAATTCTTGTGTAAATCAATCTGGATTGCCGTCTCAGTCCTGAATATGTTTCTCCTTTTTTTAAAAAAAAATTGTCTCTAGGATATTAATTTCCTGTTTTTAAATCCTTGTTTCTCACACAGTATATAGAAAAGAAAATGTAAACAATACCATTCAAAATAACACTGGCAGCAAGATATTTTTTTGCATTCAGCTGTGATGAAATGTTCTGAAACATTTTGAACAAAATGTACATTTGTTTGAAAAAAAAAAACCATTAACTTCAGCCTTCTCACAGATTTGTGTGATACAAGCTGAGGACACATTTTGGTGTGAGGAAGATACATACTATTGTTAGTGACAAATGCATCTATCTAGTACCTAATAATAATAAAATAAATATATCCTGTATATACAGCATAGGTAGATGTCCTAATCTAGTGAAAAGGCTTGGAACTAGCTGTTAAGGAAACTGCAGAGAGAATAAATACTAGTTAACAATAACCCCAATGATGGTCTTGACATTATTTTTCTTCCCTCCCTCCCTCCCTCCCTCCCTCCCTCATAATACATCTAAGGTATACTGCATAGTACTGAGATATAAAGAATTTAAAATATTTCAGAGGTAATAAAATATACATGTACAGAAATGTTCAGTATTCACATAATATGACATTAATAACTTTGCCTATATAATATAGGGTCTCAAACCACTAACAAACAGGAAAATCAAAGACCAGGTTACTGTTAAACAGAATGAAACTTGGGAAGAGAGGACTATGGATTTGAGCTTAAAGAACATAAAGTTGTGGAATTCAGTTAAGTCATTAGATGTAGGCCTGCTTTGGTTACTCCCTCAATGTGAACAGGCATATTCTCCACCCAAAAAAACCTTCTCAGTGGTGGCCCAACTTCATGGAATATGTAATCCCTGGAGACCTGCTTTTTTGTCCTTAAAATATTCATTTTAAAATAGGCTTTTAATATCTTGAAGCCTAATGAGAAAGAGGTATAGGCATCTTTGTATTTATTTATTTATTTTTTAAAAAAATATTTTTATTGAACATTTTTTTTGGTTTGTAACACAATTATCATATTTGCAATATTTCTGCATCGGTATACCTCCATTATATAATTTTTGTCCATAGGCATGTATATATATTTCTTTTATACATAATAGTCTATTAATAATGCCCTCTGGAACGAACTCCCCGCAGGGATTCGGACCCTCACCTCTCTCCAGGCCTTCCAAAAAGCCGTCAAAACCTGGCTTTGCCGGCAAGCCTGGGGTTGATAAGTTCTCTCCCCTCTCGACTTGTATGGTTGCGTGATTCTTGCTTATTTTAATTATCTGTATTCTGTTTTATGTTCCCCCTTTTCCCTTTTTGAATTGTTCGCCGCCCTGAGTCCTTCCCGGAGAAGGGCGGCATACAAATAATAAAATTCAATTCAATTCAATAATATATTAATTTATCTACAATACCTCTTATGTCCATACATATGTATTTATACTGCCTTTATGCTTATTAGTCTATTAATGTACTAATTTATATACAATACATTTTATATCTATGCGTACATATATTTCTTTTATACATATTAATCCCTTTGTGTACTATTTCATATACAATGTATCTTACATTTTTTATCTTGTTCATTTATGTGGTTTTGCAATTATTTTCTAATATCTTAATCTTTCTTCTCTTAATACTTTCTTATTCTTTACATCTTTTCTCTAACCATTTATACCACATATTCCATATCAGATAATAATCAGATTCTCCTTTATTTTTTATTTCTTTTGTGAGTATATCCCTTTCAGCGCACTGTAACACTTTATTTATTTATTTATTTATTTATTTATTTATTTATTTATTTATTTATTTATTTATTTATTTATTTATTTATTCTTATTTCTTTAAACTAACATATTTCAAGATTGCTTGTTAAGATTTCTGTACACTCCTCAAAGTCATGAAATTGGAACAGAAATGAAATAAATAATGAACCATGTTTGCTTCTGCTCTTGAGTTGTAAATATTCAGCCTAGACATACTGTATCAACACTCTGGAAAATTCAAACAAACTTATGCCTGCCTTGGTAGAGCTTGACAATGGTATTCCTACTATACAGTAAGACACATTCTATAAGCTGATTCATTTTTGGGAATAATGGAAAATACTAAATTCAGTGTTCCAGAAGCAGAAGAGGAAGAAAGATATAATTCATATAATATATAATTCAAAGCAAACAGGGATATGTATGTATGCATGTATGTATGAATGTGCAGAGATGTTCAACTGAATTTTTATTTATAAAACAATGTCAGCTGATGTTGTGTTTATTTTTATTTTCCTTGCAGTACAGGTGACTGACAATGGTCACTGTTCTGTTTCTCCTGCTTCTGCTTTTGCTATTGCTACAGCTGCAGCTGGTCATGGAAGTCCACCGGGTAGGTTTACTAATAGATCTATGTGAATCAACCCTGATTTGAATTGAACTGAACATTTGAGCATGATAACTTTACAATTCAAGATTTAAGAACAAACCAATTTATTCTACCTGATATGAGATTTGATTTGAAAGAAGAATTTGTTAGTTTGTAATGAGAATTATCAGAACATCTAATTGCTTCTTCAATTTTTTGGACTGAATGGGATAGAAATATTAGAAATCACAAATCCAAGTTTAAATTGATATCTTCACAAATACTGCTACAATAAATCTTGAATTGCATTTCCAACTTAAAAATAAACTTTTGAAAAAATTATGAAAAACAATGACCTACTGATTTTCCTTGTGGGGTTGTCATGAGTCTTGGCATCACTGCCAAGCTTGGCTCCTCCAGGGAGGTATCACCTTAATAAATAGAAAGACGCCAATGTAGCTTAAAAGTAATATTTTATGTTAATTGCTGGTTGGCAAAGACAGAAGGAGTAGTCTGGTAAGAGAGATTATCGTAAGATATGCTTCATTTGTTTGCTTGTTTCCTTAAGTACATATATTCTTCTGAATATACTAATTTGTAAATGTTGTTTTGTTTCATGCCCCTTCGGGCAAATATTTAACACGGATTAAGAAAATGATGTTGCGATTATAAAACTAAAAGGAACTACATTTGGTGAAATAGCTGTTGAAAGTGCAAACATCTGCCTAATTGCTAGCATTTCAATATATTATTTTTTACAAAAATCATTGAGAATAGTGTTTCTGTTATTAACATTGCAGTTTTTTCTAAGTATGCACCTGTACGTGGCATTTTCTTCCTATTGTTTTTTTATCGAAAATCTGTGTACTGTTTTATCTCCAAAGAGTCAACTCTCTGAAGTGCAAAGACTGAACATAAATTTGCTTCAATCTGTCTGTAAATTATATATGCATCTACATATATTCTCTTTTCCTTGTAACTTTCACAAACTGTGATGAATTTGAATAGAATTCTATTTTTGTTCCAGAAGTAAGAGCTGTTTTGAATCTGGAGAACTGTTGCTTAGCAATTCTGTCAAATGGTTGGGTAAATGCTTTCTTTCAGACTGGCAAATCACACTATGAAGCTTTTATTAAGCAATTATTAAGCAATAACCTTATATTAAAGTTACAGTTATCTGAGAAAGATTAATAGGACTCCTCCTTGTTGTTAAATACATGTTAATAAATGTATCTCCTTTTATAAGGAAAGGCGATGTAGTTTAGTGATAGTGCATATAAGGTAAGTTCCAGATTCAGTCCTCTGGTCTTCAGTTAAAAGCATCAGCAGGTGATGGGATCCCAAGTCGTCCAGGATGTCCTTAAGATATCCTAGGAGACTGATAATATTTTACATTAGACATGATACTTCTTAATAATGCCTCTCAATTCTAATTTATACTAGAGATTAGTGAAATGTGCACAGCTTTCTTTGCATTAATACATTAAAAATCTGGGTCTGTTGTTGCCCATGACAAAGTCTGCACTTGGGGTAGAGCCACAACAAAAACAAATATCATTTCATTTATATTTTATGTTAAAATTAAATATACAGTACTTCTGCTGTATATTTAAATATGTTCAATGTTTTATAAGGAGAAGTATTTTTTAAAATAAGCAAATTCTAATGCAGAAAAAGCAGGAGATAAGGAGTAATTAAATAACGCTTCCTTTTTTGGATAATATTTTATCACTCAAATGTGTATATTTTCTACTATGCAGACTCTTGAGAATGTATCTACCATTTAACAGCACTGTAGGAAGTGACTTTTTGTAAAAATTTCAGTTATCTGTCTTCATTTGAATAATGCTTAAAAATTGTTATGGAAACCCAGTCAAGATTCATTCTGTTTTGCAATTTCAAATAACTATAGTATAAAACCAAAAAAAAATAAAAATGCTGCACATTTTCATAGGTATTGTTAATTAAATCCTGTGGTTGGAATGGCTGTTCAAAAATACTTCAAAAATACTTCAGACATTTATTAATTCTTTCAAAAAAGTGATGTTTAGTGGGTGTTCTTTAGAAATTTATTAGAAAAACAGGAACAAGAAAGTTATCAACACTTTTCTTCATTGCAACATTTTTCCCCATTGGTGGCTGTATAAATGGATGAGAGTAAGAGGAATTAAAATTTTAAAACTGCCTTGCTAGATCTAATTAGAACTGGACAACAAACAAATGCAGTAATTCAATAGCAGATATTGTCATCTCTATTCCTGACATCTTTAGACAATCAAAAATGTATGACTATATATTGTATATAAAAGCTAAATGTATAATTGCCTTATCTAGTATTTAACCTGATAGGTCTGGGCATCCTAAATATTAGCTCTTGTTATAAACACAGTTAAACCATCAAATTTTGTAGGAATTAAATATGCAAGATATGTACAGCTGAAAGAAGAAATATTTGTTTTCTTTTTGCCTATATTATATTCTTTTGTCTATGCTACTAAGCTATTTGCTTGAAACATTCTGAATGTAACTGTTTTCTGTTCATTTGCTTTAAGTATTCCAGAATTGTACTCACACTGCTAGTTTATAGACTGGAAATAAACATTTTCTTAACATTTCTTCCAAACTCTTAATAACTGTAGTTGGTTTTTTATGTTTTAGTAACTAATATGTTTATGTAGTATATTTAAAGTGCTGGTAGCTTTCTATAATTTTGTGTAGCTGCATTACATTGGCTTAAAGTTCTTTCATGAATTAGTTCACATGTATAACACGCAATTGACATTTTCAGAATTCCCTTTATTCCCTTTTGCATATTAAGAATATAAATTCCATTAATAATTAAGTACAAACATGGCACAACCTCTTCAAAGTAAACTATTAAGATTACATTCAACTAGTGTAGCTTTGATTAGATGTAAATAATAGATGTAAAGTTAAATGGAGATTCTTCATAGAACTAGAAAATGTTGAAAGTTGGGTTGTTTAGTTCCCAGATAAATGATAGAGCCATACACGGAGAAAATCCCACCTCTAATTCTGTGTTATACGACAACAATATGTCTATTGCAAACAATGCAATAAGTAGGAAAAAGATTTCTACAAAACAGCACACTTCAAGTGGCTGACTGTCTCAAAATCAGTCATAGTGGGTGCTGAAAGGAAGCCAAGCATTCTCCCCCAGAGATAGAATAAGTCCTTCCAATCCCAACTATAGGAAATCTGAGAAAAAGATAAAAAGTGTTGTTTTTCTAAATATGGAAACCATTTTGAAGTTTCCCTGCATGTGGAACTGTTTATATCTGTCTATTCAGCTTTAAGAAAATAAGTTTGGTATAGTGGTTAAGGCATCATGCTAGAAACAGGAGACCATGAGTTCTAGTCCTACTTTCTTCATGAAGCCAGTTGATTGGATCAGTTACCTTCTCTCAGCTCTAGGAACCAGGCAATAGTCAAATAATTCTGAAATCTTGCAAAGAGAACTGTAGGCACTACAGGTAGTCTCCAGGATGCTATAAATAGAGTGAAGCCTGGAAGCTATAGCATCTGTTTATCAAATGTTTGGGATATTTAATTTGTCTGAACAGATGGACAGACTAACTGCTCACATGGACACTCAGCTCTAATATTTCTGGTTATTAAAAGATGTGAGGAATGCAATGGGTTGCATGTGGACAACAATCAGCATATTATTTCTCTTGCTTCTTGATTCAGACAGGTGGTACATATCTTGATCATTGATTTGGGGGAAATGAACCACTTACGGGAAATAGATATAATCTATACATTTATAGAATTGTTGTAGTTACGTAAATCTGCTAGGTTCTGTATTGCACTATAACACACGTGTTATCAACTAATGGCTGTCTTGGAGCCAACCTTAATCTGGGTCAGAGTTTGTGGCTAGATGTGCCTTTATGAAATGTAGATTAGATATGTGCTATTTGAAATGCTGTTAAAACACTCCGCATGCTTTTGCCTTTGAAAAATGATCAGAGACTTCAGTGATCCATACAGCAAATAGTCATGTTATTAACAGAAGCAACATATTGAGACTAAGCAACCTGAGATTAATGTATTAAGAAAATTGTGAACCTTAATTATTTGATCCTTAACTACCATTGTTTGAAACCACAAGGAATTGACTTATTAAAAACTATTTACCAGTAGTTCATGCTTGGATAAGATCAGAAAAAAAACCTCCTTGACAGCATCAGGTGTGCTGTTGAGTCTGCCCCTTTCTTACTAGTTTTGGAGAAAATCATATAATGAGAATTTGAGATTACAGGTAGTCCTCAATTTATGACCACAAATGAGCCCAAAATTTATGTTGGTAAGTGAGAAATTTGTTAAATTTTGCTCCATTTTCTTGCCTCATTTGTTAAGTGACTCTGGGATCCGGCAACCATCGTAAGTATGAGCCAATTGCCCATACTTTTGATTATGTGATCATGGGAATGCTGCAATGGTCCTAAGTGTGAAAAATAGTCATGTCACTTATTTCAGTGCCATTCTAATTTCGAATTACCTATTGTAAGTCGAAGACTACCTGTATTTGGTATAGGGAATATTAACTATGTTACTCACATTGATATAGTAGCTGAATGTATGTCCGTCAAGATAGTTAAAAATCTGAGTGGTTAGCAGGGAATAGGTTATGAACAATTAATTTATTGTTTTTTTCTCCCCTTTTCTAGAAAAATTGCACTTGTGCTTGTTTTAAAATGACCCACATATTGCTGTGTAATATTATAATAGAATATTGAATTCACTTTATAGTATTAAAGATTATAGGAAAAAAATGAAGCAATCCAAGCAAACATTTTGTTTATAAATGCAGGAAACTCTTTTTTGGCAGTTGCAAATATATGTTGTATCATTTAATATATACGGTATGTGTAAGCAAAATTTTCAAAATCCTTTGTGTGTCAACAATTAAAAAATGTTTTAAATGGTTTTATCCAATCAAGCTATACTGTGAAGAATTTTACTTTGATAATTTTCTTCATCTAATTGATTTTATTTTATTGTATATCTCCTTTAAAATATGTAGCATTTAATAATTCTGAACGAATATGTGATAAGGATTTCATAATACGTCGAGCAGCTACAAATCGTGTCTTGAATGTCCTTCGCCACTGGGTGTCAAAACATTCTCAGGTACTTTTTATAATATGCTTTTTCATGTGAAGCAGTGATACATTCTTTCCACAGTTTATGTATTGTACAAATTCTCCTCCTTTCCAGTTTTACAAAAAAAGTCAAGAATTTATTAGGCTCACCTCCTTAATGGCAACAGATCCGCAGATAACTGTCCACCCGCCCTGTTTAGGGTGACCCGCTCCTTACTTAACCAAGGAACTGGTTTGTGGTTTCCGTCATCCTGATTTGTGCATCTTGTTCCATCTTTGATGATAGGGGGAAAAACTTTACCCCCCTCAGAGAGAGCCTGCAATCTGGGAGCCCTCCTGGATACACGGCTTAGTTTAGAAGAACACCTGACGGCCGTGACCAGGGGAACCTTTTACCAGGTTCACCTGATACGTCAGTTGCACCCCTTTCTGGATCGAGATGCTGTGTGCACAGTCACTCATGCCCTCGTCCTTTCTCGCCTGGACTACTATAACACTCTCTACATGGGGCTGCCCTTGAAGAGCATCCGGAGGCTTCAACTGGTTCAGAATGCAGCCATGTGGGTTATCATAGGGGTATCTAGGTGCTCCCATGTTACACCCCTTTTAGGTGGCCTGCACTGGTTGCCGGTTGTCTTCCAGGTGTGATTCAAGGTACTAATTATGGCCTTTAAAGCACTCCATGGCTTAGGTCCAGGGTACCTGCGAGACCACCTACTGCCACCAGTAGCCTCCCACCATCCAATGCGATCCCACAGAGTTCGCCTCCTCAGGATGCCGTTGGCAAGACAGTGTCGGCTAGCGACCCCCAGGGGGAGAGCCTTCTCTGTGGGAGCGCCTTCCCTCTGGAATGAGCTGGCCCCAGAGCTTTGCATAATCCCCGACCTCCAGTCCTTCCGACGCACCCTAAAAAGTTGGCTTTTCCAGCAAGCCAGCCTGGCCTGAATAGAATAAAATATAGGATTAATTTGGTTGTTAATTTTAATTTAATTTTTAAATTTTTATTGTAAATATCAATTGGGGTTTTTTTTTTTGATATTTTATTTAATGTCCCTTTTAATTTAGAGCCGAGGTGGTGCAGTGGTTAAATGCAGCACTGCAAGCTACTTACAGCTGACAGTTCTGCAGTTCAGCTGTTCAAATCTCACTGGCTCAGGGTTGACTCAGCCTTCCATCCTTCCGAGGTGGGTAAAATGAGGACCCGGATTGTTGTTGGGGGCAATATGCTGACTCTGTAAACCGCTTAGAGAGGGCTGAAAGCCCTATGAAGCGGTATATAAGTCTAACTGCTATTGCTATTGCTATAATTTTTGTAATATGTGTTTTCTTTTATGTTGTACGCCACAGTCCTTGGGAGAAGGGCGGCATATAAATCCAATAAACCTAAACCTAAACCTAAACAACTATATGGGGAAAACTCTGCTGGCATTACACTTTGCAATAGCTTGCATATAATTTTTGACAGCTCTGCCTTATACTAAGTAGCTCTTCTGGATATTGCTATTATTTGGTTTCTATAAAAGAAGGTTTTTTACAATAAACTGATATGAAATCCCTCCTCCATTATTTCTAAAGTGTATGCAAGGCTGTCAAGAATCCAACACTGAATCAGCAAAATAGGATTTCTGTATGCTTAGTTAACTCCTTCTATGATTGGAGCCTTGTTAAATGTAATTGGATTTTTGGCATGATTTTAGGGCAGATAAAGGAATCATTATAGTCTCTGAATTTGATCCATGGTCCATCTTAAAATTAAGTATATTATCCTACAGCCAATTATCTGGGTAATATCATTTCCTATAAATTGTGCTTGACATTTATAGCCTCAAGAGTTCAGTTATGTCAATAGTAGTGCCAATCTTATTTAGAAGATGTATTCTGTTATTGGCATCAGCTATGGAAGTCAAGAAGTATGTGTTTTTTCTTGCTTTTGAAAACTGCTTCTAAAGTTTTAAAGAAGTATACCATAGGTTATTTATCCATAATTATTGTGCTTGTGAAAAATGGTACTGTGGCACAGCAGCTTTATACACAACAAATAATGTTTGGATGATATGTATAATGTGTCTTGGCCCACTGATGTAGTTATCTAAGCAGCAATGAAATTGATCCACATCACCTGTCTACAATCTGTCCCCTTCCAGATTGTGCTGGAATACAGTTCCCATCATCTGGATAGTTTTTCCCGGCAACAAGATAATAGCACTTGAAGAGCACAGTTGGAGAAGGCTCCCTTTCTAACTAGATTCCCTAGATAAGATCATTATCACATGGAAATGCATTAACATCAGAATAATACAGCAAACAAGTTTCATGCTATCAAATAGTCTGTTGCCCTAGTAGAAAACCATGAAGAGATGAAGGCAAAAAATGTACAGTATGCTGCTGTTATTTTCTTGAAGCAGATGTACAGAAGCTTGCAGTAGTAGTATGTGCATAAGAAAAAATAACTTCAAAATCCCCTTGATGTGATTAATTAATAATTAATTAATTGTAATTATGTAGCTCAAACCTAAGCATATTTAGTCAAATAGGTCACTTCCAAGTAAGCCTGCCTAGAATTAAATCATAAGTATTTAGCATGTCAAGATTGACATCAGAGTATTGTTGTGGTCTGACAGCGGCCTGTAGAGCTGGCAGGAGAGTCGGACAGTGAGAAAGTTGGGGAGGAACATAGGCCAGTCTTGGAGTCTAGGGAAGGCTCTGTGTTGGAGGCTCTGTGTCAGAGGCAGAGAGAGGGACAGGGCCATCTGGGAGTTATGTACTGACTCTGGAGCCTCCAGAGTAGGACATCAGCGAGGCAGAGGAACAGGGAGAGCCTTTTCCCAATGGACTCGTGCACAGAGCTACCAAAAGGTAAGAACAGTTAAGACAAAAGGGGTGACTTGGGAGAAAGACTTGGAGATGATTGGCCCCTCCCATAAGACATAAAGGAGGAGCAAAGGCACGTGAGCCTTTGCAGGAAGAAACTTTGTTTGTTCTTGTCGGTTTAAACTCCAGTTGAATCTCTGTTTTGACTCTCTGCTCCATTTCGCCTTGTAAAGCTAATTGGCAATTAGGTCTTTGCCAGTGTTTCAAGGGAGATAAAGGTGGGTGCTTTATTAGCCTTATCCCGAAAGACTGTGGCAGACTTCTGTTGGACTCTTTACAAACTATTTGTGACTCATTACAGGATGTGAATAAACATAATTCACAGCTGTGAAATAAAAAGGTTTTGGGGGACTAAGTGTCTGATTTTTACACTCTCAGGTAGTGTAGGTCAGAACACGTATTTCCCAAATTAGACCAAGTATATCTGAAAATTATGCCATAACTATTTACTGCTTTCCAAATTAACTTGGCTAACTAAAATATCATAAATAAAATTGTTCTTTTGGCTTTATGCATTTATGTAATGCCTTCATTTACATGAACAAGACTTATGATTGAAGCTGTATGAATTAATCAGTCATGTGATTTTCAAGTTTTTAATTCAATCATAAGGCCTACTCTACAATATTCTGATTAAATACTTGGCCTTCTCTGAGACAATGCAATATCATATTAAGCTGCCAAAATAATAAAAGGGTTTTAAATATTACAGTCATTTTTATTAAAATACTTAAGCTAATGATAGACAGTTGTTTAAGAAATAACTGGTGGTTTCTTCAAATGCTAAGGCCTAGCTTTTTCCTGAGATATGTTCTCAGCCGAGTCAAGAGGGTAGGTTGGAATTGGTCATTTATCTTTCATTTTTTGTCATTTATATTATATTAACAATTATGCTTCATTTAAAATGAGCATAGCTGAGACAATCTGAATAGGATATATTTATATATTAATTATTCTTAGAATTATAAATTGTGGATTTATGTGCATTATGCAATTTATGACATTTTGTCTAATTGTTTAGACTCTCTTCCTGTCCTTAAATAGAATCAGAATTATCATGAATCTAGTGCCATGATGGCAAACCTATGGCATGTGTGCCACAGGTGACATGTGGAGCCCTCTCTGAGGGTACGTGAGCAATCACCCAGCTCAGCTACACCATGCATGTGTGCATGCCTACTGCTGGCCAGGAGTCTCTGCCACATGTACATGTGGAGGGGATGCTCCCCGCGTGCCCTGTTTTTGATATCAGGGATGCCTGCTAGGCCCAAAACGGGCTGTGGAGGGGGTGCAGTGGTGGCCCCCATGCCCTGTTTTTGACCCAGGAGACTTCAGGGAGGTCTGCTAGGCCCAAAATGGGGCATGGGGGAAGGGGGCACACATGTGCGGAGAGGGAGCATGGAGGTCATGCACACATGCAGGGGGGCAGGGCAATGGGGGATGTTACATACGCATTACATGATGGGTGTGGGGGCATGCATGCATGCTTTCGGCACGCAAGGACGAAAAGGTTAGCCATTACTGACCTAGTGCCCTAACTTTAAGGGAGCCTTTTCTGAACAGCATTCCTGAACAGCACCAGGGTCAGACCAGGGACAACACTTCTGATCTAGAGATTCTTGAGTAAGATTAAAAAGCCAGGAGACTCAGCTGCTGCCTATGCCTTAGTTTGAACTTCAGATAGCAAGTTATGTAGCTAAATACGATTTTAATCACAGCTACTCCTTTTAGATAAACATTATGCAAATTATTTTCCAGGGATCAGAAAGGGACATTTTCATTAAACATAAGCCACTAAAAACTAATGCAAACTAATTTCTTTTTCTGCTAGAATATGTGTACAGTTTTGGATTATGAATCTCATGAAATATCAGCAAATACAACTATTACTAATAATAGTTTATTAAATTTATACACTGCTTCACTCCCAGCAACACTGAGCAGTTTACAATTGTTAAAATAAATTTAAAACAAGGAACAACAACATAATATCCACAAAAACAGCACAAGATAAGAGAAAATAATGGCAAAGAAAAACAAAGAGGGGTGTCCCCTTCAAAGGTCTGGGGAAAAAGACAGGTTTTAAGGCCCTAGGAAATACCAGTAGGATGGGAGCCATTTGAATCGAGAGAGCCTCATTCCAGAGGGCAGGTACTA